TATTTATTTATTTATTTATTTATTTATTTATTTATTTATTTATTTATTGTGGTATCTTGCTATGTAGACCTGGTTTTGAATTCCCAAACCTACTATATCTACCTTCCGAGTGCCGGAACACAAGTGTGTGTCACCTCTCCTAGATCAAGAGTATTTGCTCTTATTTGCTTTGGACACACACACACACACACACCCTACACACACACACCCTACACACACACCCTACACACACACACCAGAACATGGAAAAGTAAACCAAGATGGATACTGAAAACGACTTTTGAGACTCAGATGTGGCATCGAGAGCCAGCATTCCTGTCTTTGGTCTTATTAGGTTAGAATGACTGAAAGTTTCAAAGTGGTAGGCAGGACTTTGTTAAACGTGAGACTCTCTCCATGGCACGCACGCATCTCATGCGCCATTTGGAGTCACACAGAAAACAAGTCTTCAGGATGAAAATGGACTCTCTCTTTTAAAGAATCGATCAGTTTTGCTATTTGTCAATTACACATGCATATAATATATTCTGATTCTCTCTCCACCCCTATTGTTCCCTCCTGTGTTAACATCCTGTCCCACCTCCCTTTCCCAGATTCATGGGGCCTTCTAGTTTTCAAACTTTTTCAACATCTAGGGATGATATTCTGTACTGGATCTGTGTCTGTTGACTGAATCTTTTCTCTTGTCCTCTGGGTAGATCAACTGCAATGGTTTCACTCTCAGTGACCAGAGAGGGCTACAGGCAGTGGGTGTGGGCATCTTCCCCAACCTGGGCCTGGTGAACCATGACTGCTGGCCAAACTGCACTGTCATATTCAACAATGGAAAGTGAGTGCCTCTTTCTCAGAACTTGTGCAATGGGGATTGGACAGTTTTCCACTTGATTTCAACCAAAGTCAAACTTATAAACTTGAATTTCCGTGGACTGCCAATGTTTAGTAACTGAAGAGTTTTACTCCAGACTGAGAGGAGAGGAAGGAACTGAGGTGGATGTTGAAGATTTCTACCTGGTCCATTTCTGAATCTTTAAGTTTGCCTAGACGTATTAGATAAATCATTAACTACTGTTCTAAAACTTGAACTCTGGATTACTTACCTAGAGCCAAAGCATCAAAAAAAGGACATGGCAGTAGCCTATGCTAGCTAAGGTTCTATAAGAAGATAGAAAGCACATTCAAAGGAGTATAGTCAAACAGAATTTAATGAAAGGACGATTTACAGGTGTGTGGGCAGGATGTGGGAAGGATCAGGTGAGGGCTGGTGAGGTGTCCAGGGCTGAGCACACAAATCGTTCCTAGACTTGGCAGGCCAAGCAGGGAAAGAAAGCCCTTGCTGCAGTTAGTGGCCATCTGGGGCATGATAAAGCTCCTTCCACTGAGCTGTGCCATACAACTGCACCTGCACAGAAGTTAGCCGCTGCTGGAATCATGGGCTAACAACTTCAACCTTGTTCACTTCTGCTCAGCCAACCTCACCCAGAGGCCAAAGAGCAAAGGAACCTAGGTGACGCAGTCCTCAGGCTTCAGCCCTTTGCCCCCAGGAAGGCACAGATCAAAGACACATGGGCAAACACTTGGATCGTGGGAGTGGGGCACAAAAGGAATGGCATCAGTAAACAGCCTGGAGCCTGATAGTGTGAGGGTCGGCCTGGGGAGATCTGGGGGGAAAGAAGCCTGAACAATACTCAGTGTCTTTACTCATAAAGATGGTCTCTCATGACAGATGAAAGCCGACTTTGAGCCATTAACCATCAGCTTTCTCCTTAAAACTTCCTTGAAGCCAGAGACAGTGGTTTCTGGGTCTCAGCTGAGAGCTGGGTTGAAGTGGCAACATAGCCAAGACTATGAGTCCTTATTTCCTTTCTGTTTCTCACCCCAGCATCTAAAGCAGTTGAGAAAGATGACAAAAATCAGGAAAGCTTATTCTGAACTCTTAGAATAATATTTTCTAGCACGTTGTATTCCTGTGTAAGCCTCTAGGGACGATTGACCTAGACCTCATGGAATCTTTTTAGAGTATGTGTTACCCAGGTTTAGCCTGGTTGACTGAGTTTAGCCATGCACAACTTCTAGATGGCCCGTCTGTGAATGCTGGTGACCCAAGGCCCCTGTTGTGACTGCATAATGGTTAGTGAACCTAGGACTCATGCTTCAGGGCAACTCTGGTGTCTGCTGTAGCTTCTTTGTATTTACTAATTGTGAGTGGTCATGTGTTCCCTGGATCTGTTGGCTTTTGTGCAAGAGAGGAGGTCATTCCAGTCACTGCCTATCTGCCTACTGCACTGGAAATAACCCTGGACATGGTATTAATGGCCCAATTTTAACCACAACAATAAGTAAGCTCTATATGTGCAATTCAGAACTCTTTCCAAGACAGTCATCCAAAGAGGCCATGTTTATTTATGCATCCTACTTGTCACAGGGACAGTTAAATCATCCCTACATTTCTCAGCACTCTCTTCTCAATTGCCTTGGCTTGCAACAATCTCACTGTCGTATGCTAAGTGGACACTGAGGACCTGGGAAAGGAAGCCCGTTGTTCAGCGGTGAATCCCTCTGTGACTCCATTTTGTAACCCTGTTTCAGTGTACTTTCGCTGTTCCAGGCAGCCTCCTGGCAGGGGAGCTCAGCTAGAAAGGATGAGGTTGGTTGTGACTGTCAATGCCCTGATCGCGTGAGCCCAGAATGCTGTGCTCTCTTCGGGCTGCAGTGGTATTGATTTCTTTGTGGGTGTCTGTTTTGTCTTTCAGTCATGAGGCAGTGAAATCCATGTTTCACACGCAGATGAGGTGGGTCAGTCTTCTCACACATCCATGTTTGTCTGACCCATCTCCCTCCTTGCCTGGCTTCCTGGGAACAGCCTTCCCTGACTCCTTGGCTGCTGCCATGTGTCATGCCCTGCACTGCTTCACCGAATGGCAACTTTTCCTGTCCTTGAGTCCACGACTTCCTCCTTGCCAGCCCACCTTTCACTTGCCTTGGTTTTATTCTGTTTGCTGTCTTCTCTCCCTCTCACTCCTTACTTCTCTACTTTTACCTCAAGGTGTGAACCTTCCAGTCATTTCAGCCCAAAAGCACACTGTCTCCTTAAACTCCGCTTGCCATGAAATAAGAATGCTTATGACTAACCCACCAAAGAACTTGTCTGTAGACCCAGCTTCTCACCCAAGCTAACAGCACCCACAGCTGTGATAGTTTTGGTAAATATGTATTCATTGTGGACTTTTTACCAATTAAAACTATGAACATGTGGCTTTGGTAGCATTTTACTTTAAACTTTTTGTTTTTAAGGAAACAGGAGATACTTATTTTGGAGCCATTTTGAGTGATCATGGCCCAGGAACATAGATTTAGTTTGCCCTAAATTCCATGTTCCAACATGGTAGCAGTTTTATGAAGGTTTTTATTTTATTTTTTATATTATTTCACAGAACAAAGAAAGTCATAAATCAAGGCAAGTTTAATATACATTGATAGGTACATCAGAGAGGCAGGTACAACACGATTGGCGAGAAGCTTTTCAGTAGGTTCAAGATGTCATCATTAGCTTTTCCATTGGTAAAAACTAATAGTATGCTAAGTTAATTGATTCTAGTTAGTTCTGACCTAGAAGCAGGCAAGGGATGGCTGGTTTGGAGGGCTAGAGCTAGCCTATGATACGGTAACTGGCCTCTGGAACGGCAACATTCAAACCTCCCTACAGACTGAAATGCTAACCAGTCAGTCAATCTCTGCAGACACAGTATTTTTTCAGGAGTTTTTGTTCACAGCTCCCCTTTCTGGCCAAGCATCATGTTTTGTACATGTGTGGGCAGCACATGTTTTATTAAATATTATCAGGTCCCTCATAGCTAGGAAGGGTCATTCCTAGGATCTGATATAAATGAGGCTGAGTAGTGGGCAGGACAGGAGTCTTCAGGACAGAGGGGTAGCTGGTAAAGGCCACTAAGAAAGAAACTTCTGAAGGTAATATATGAACAAAAATTTAATTTCTACAATAACCAAAATTTACATATTTTAAAGAGACTGACTATATTGTTCCCCCTGTGTTTACAGTTATCTTTATTCTATGAAGTGGGACTTTCAAATGAGTCACTGTAGTATTATTTTATTTTTTATTAGTAAAAAAATAAATATTGTTTAATTGATTTTTAATCCTGGTTATTTGTACTATAGGACATTTTAGATATTAATTAAATCAATAAACATCAGTGCTTAAGGTATAAACCATCATGAATGTTGTTGTTATTAGGAACTGATGTCCTTAGTATAATTCAGATAAGAAGAGTTAACCCAAATTTTTGGATTTCTCTAGCTAGAGTAAATGGAGTGAAAATTTAATTTAAAAACTAAATATTTTATTTTGCCCAAATTATACTGAACAATAAGAAAATATATTTATATTTATAATATAAATGCATTTATAAAAACAGTCAAAATACTTTAATCTTTCAGATATTAATTATTAATAAGGTAGGATTTAGAGTAAGCAAATAGTCATAACAAAACATGATCAAATGAAAGAACATAGTATTTTAACTTTATTGAATCTAAAATTAGTATTATTTTATTAGTTAGAAATATACCACATAAAATAATGGATTTCATAAGCAATTTCTAACATCTAGTTACACAATGAATAAGAAACATAAAAAGTTAGAGAAATGTTTAGTAACTTGGAATACTCACTCGTCAGTGAGTGGCCTTGGAAGTGGGTATCCTACAGCATCTTGAAGTCCTCATTAGTGCGCTCTCAGATGATGTCTCCTAGGAGTGAGTTAGAAGTTCCTGGATATAGTCCTGACCTTTAAATTGGAATTGAGTCTTTGATGTGATGTCTTCTTTTCTTTCAGTTGATAGAATCATTTGAGGTTTTCTTTATTTGGAGACTCTATATCTAATTTTGATTTTTAATTATTAAAGTTAACTTTTTATATGCATTAAAGTTAACAATATTATGCATTATTTGTTTATCTGCTAGGTAAATTTTATTAACCTGGTCCCACTGTCATTCCTCAATGACAGAGTCCTAATGGGGAGGACCAGAAGATGGGGTGATAAAGAAGACAGGAAGCTGGGGTCAGGTGGTCTTGCATAAGCTATGTTTTATGCCAAGAAGGTTTACTGAGAAGTACATAATCTTACATACAACTTGTTGGAGAAAAATAGGACAGAGTCAGCAGAAAGCTAATTGTATGACACATTATACAGTTGGACAAAGTCAGCAGGAAGCTAATCAAGCAATATTGCACTAGGGGAACACAAGGTATCTCAAGGGCATCACAGACCCAGCACACAGCAGCCTTGAGACTGATAACTCCAGTCTCTTCAGGAAGAAAAGTCAGTTCCAGTTCAGAGGGACAGAAACCTTCACTCTTTTGAGGCTCTGGTTCCAGCCCTGGACTGCACCTCGCTAGGCCAGCCCTCAGTAAGGACACAGAACTAGGTTCTCTTGTCCTTTCATCAGAGCCTCTGATAAAGCCTTGGGTTGCCTGGCTTTCAACATTGTGTAAACCAATTTAAATATTTGTCCATCAAAATATGTTTCACAATCACTCTGTAAGTTAGGAATATTCTAAATAAACATAACTCTCCAAACAGATTTTACACACACACACACACACACACACACACACACACACACACACTAAAAGCTATGATTCAAAAGCAAAGGCTCTGTCCAGTGAGAAAACATATTAAATCATAGATATTAAATGTCTGTGTAGCAAAAGGATACTAAGAACAAATCAAACTTAAAGAGAATATTGTAGAAAATCAAGCATTAATTTCATCTCAGGGTACTGAATTAGTTTAAAAACTTTTAAATAA